ACTGTACACATCAGGTTGGTGTCTACAGTGCTAGGGTTCATAGAAAGAGTTTAAATTAATGAATTCCAAAGGAGAACACGTGCTGAAGAAATTACAGGTACTCAAATTGAAAAAAATATTTAAGGTATAATTCCGATGTGCTCTAAGAATGAATTCTCATAACTTAACAGTCTCACCATTGGGGGATTGGGAAAGTGGGAACCGTCATGGGTCTTCATATATGTCAATGGCGGGGATAGCGAGGTTGTAAGCACTACATTGAGTGGTAGAGACGAATTAAGATTCTATTAAATCACCTCAACTAGGCACTGAGTGTGTACTTTAATTGACTTACGCTGTCATTAACTCCTTCATGTTAGAGAAAAAGCCTTCTGGTAGTTCCCGCATCTCGTTGTAATGAAAGTACCTGCGAGTTAGAAGAAAGCAATTCAGCTAAACTAGCAATGCTTCCTCGTGTTATACTGACAATGATCTCTTCAACCTGCTGTATCAGTTACTGAGAGGTCGCTTCCTACTTCCTCTGCTCTTTTTCGCACAGTCTCTAATGATTATCAGATACCGAAACGTTATAAACCTTAAGAAAAGGAAACTGAAAGATGAGAACTCATTTATTGGGAGAAGTGAGAAATAAACGCATCTGTTTTTTAACGAGTCATCCCATTTTTCCAGATTCGTGACAAGTTATTCGTCGGCTAATCACACAGGCATGGACGTATTTACTTTGCCAACATGCTTTGAATTCGCAACCAATCAAAGTTTTTCGTGGATTCAGTCATAGAATTCCGTAAGTTCGTATACGCTCTGAACAAACTCAGCTGGTTCATACTCACAAGAATCGAATGTTTGGCGCGACATCTTTGAATTGTTCATTAGTTACTTCAGTGATTTTGTTAAGATAAAAGCTCCTGAATAGAGATAAACCAATAAAAAGTGTACACGTCATACGAGTGTTGCATCATCCATCGAAAACTGTTTACTTCTACTCAATTTGGCTCGTTTTGTTTAAAGTTAAATCTCCATAACATGAACGTTTCGTGTAGTGTATTATACTACGATAATAAAAATCTTTATAACCGATTCTACGCAGGTTCTACAGAAGTCCTTTAGATGGCTAAAGACTTTGTTGAACTGCATCAGTTAACTCTGATTGGTTTGCCTGACCTCATGATTACTCTAAGGGCTGTGAGGCTTTTCTCTAAATTAGTATAGACTTGATCTTGTGAGGTATGTCACGAAAAACCCTTTGTTTGAATCTTGAAGGAACCTGAAGTTGGGCTTCTCATTAAGTTCTTGCACTTTTAGAATTTCTTCCTGTCTTTCATAGGACCTTCATTCACCTTGGTGTCCACGCACTGAATAGAATGGGTCTTGCATGTGTACTCGGCTTGTTCTACCCTGAACCCATGGTATTGTTTCGAATAGCAGCCTGTTTGATGTACTTTCACTGTTGCACAGCGATAATTAACATTGTCGGAAGGATAAAATAGGCTAAGATGATAATTCTTTTCATGTCTACTAGTGTCCGTGACCATTTCGGACAAGACAGAAAGTTTTATTCGCAATCACTCTGTGGTTTCTGCAAGCTTCTCGAGCATATACATGTAGATGCAGAGTAGGTAGAGTATTTTTAAGGGTATGGTGGTATTTAAATACCATTTGATTGCATCGATAAAGACATTCATGATATCTGAGGTTTCCATACGCTGCAAAGTGAAGACATATCCGGTAACTTGAAAACGGCTTAAAACTATGCAATTTTTCCTTGGGATAGCAATAATTCAGGTTTCGTTTGTTGTCCTTCAGTCTATTATGAAAAGCAATTCGTTCTACTGTTACTAAAAAATTTCTTGTGAGAGTCTCACTGCTTTTGGAAGTATTAATTTCGTTTATCGAGTAAGTTTAAAAGGATACTTACATAGACCTAATCTGTTTCGCATCCTTAAAAACTCCACGTGGCAGATATTTGATGTTGTTGTCATAAACAGCCCTTGAAATCAAAAAAGGGGAAATTTTATCATCTGAACAACATAGAAACAATCTAAGCATATATTGATTTTCATTGCAAATACCATTCATGTTACTCTTATGCCGTTCTTTCAGGGTATTGAGAGGTAAACCAGCATTCTTCAGGGGTACACCAGCTCGATTAAGTAGGAAAAAATCCAAGCAAAAAACGAGGTTGTCGACTATTCAAGCGTTTCCACGATACATGAAACACTTAGCTTTTACCATCCAACCTCACTCTTCCTTTTAGGTACGCGTGAGATTAATTTTTAATTGAAAATTTCTCTCCTTAAAAGTTAGATATGTATCGAGAATACCGAGCAAAGATGATCTGTTAAGAGTCATTGCTTTTCATTTTGGCTTTCTTAAACCATGTTTTTCAGATCTCCTGAAAACTTAAAATTAATTTTTAAAAGGAAAAAATCGATGTTTTCACTTACAGGTCTTTTAGTTTGGATAGACCTTGGAACTGATCAGGCAACAGGGCCACGAGGCTGTTGTTGTCCATATATCTGCACAGTAAATAAAATGCAGTGTATGATGTTCCAAACCATAATGCAACATGGACTTTACTTCCAACTAGTGACGATTTTATATTCTTTGATTCTTATAATAACTAGCCCTCGTTGTTTCGATCGCATCCTAAGAATTCAGAAGGATCTTTTTCTTAAAACGAAACGAAGAGGGCCACTTAACAAGAGATTCACGTGTTTTCCTCCATTTTGGTATAATTTGTATTTCCCGGAATCATTGGTAGGAGTGTAAGATGAAGGGAGTTGTTTCATTTATTACTCGCCTTTTAGATTTTATCCTTTAAACGGCTTACTATTGTTCCTTACTTGAATCTTAAAAAAGACTCTCGTAACTTGCTAAAGTCAGTAGTGATCTTCGGCTAAAATGATAAAGTATTTAGAAAGCTTCCTGTTTATAACGAAGATTGTATGATATACTCATTGCTTCAGCCTCCGTTACAAACATGAACTACTTACAATGTTTCTATCTCGGAGAGGTTGTTGAACCTTGGCAAATGCTGAATTCTGTTACTGGACAGAAAGCTGCAGGGAAAAATGAAAGAGAAAAAGTAGAAGAGTTAAGTTATTTTCATGGTTTCT